CAATATTCCAGGATACCATGCATATTAGACGGATTTGAAACGTTCACCATCGAGATTAATAACTGTTGGACCAATTAAAAATCAAAAATCAATTAATGCTTCATGGGCCATATAATTTATAAGATTAAATTTTTTTAAGTGAATAAGAAATGAACCATTAGGTTCATGGAGAAATCTCAAGGTTTAAAACCTTAAAATTATAGTATGATGTAATTGAGATCAAACAAGTCTTGCCAAATACTGGAACTAAGATATATTTCGACAAAAAAAGAAGAAGATATATTTCGAAATATATCTTATGCATGCATATTGTTGGACCAATTAAAAATCAAAAATCAGTTAATGTGATTTGGAAACAACGTGATTATTATTATATTTTTGAGTGATAAAACAATTTGTAAACGATATATCCATTTTTGTCATTTTTTTTATTATATGAAACAAAACTGACTTATGTATTTTATGGAACTTTATGCCATGAATTTACAAAGGATTACCCTAGTATTTTTAAATTTGTTTATACGACATAAAGTTAAATATGTTTTCCGATCTCATGATCGAATATATTGTTATTGATTTTTCCTTTTAAAACTCTAAATTAAGAAGCATCTAATGTAAATTTTGTTTTCTTTGAATTAATTTAACAAATAATTAACAAAAAAAACTATAGTAAGATTAGTTTTTGGAGTTTCTCTTTCTAAAATTCTCTCTACAAGACTTCTTCTGCTGAAAATTTCTCGAATCTGAGATTGCTTTCCAGCCGGTTGTGTGCCGGTCCTGTTTTGTATATATGTTCAGTTTTTTTGTTTTTCGTGTTTATAGTTTACTTCCGGCTCGGATTTGTTTTTGATATTCTTGGACCTCAGATCTTGGTCGGATTTTGTTTCTGTTTTATCGGATCGGTTTCCAGATTTTTCGGTTTAATTTTCCGGCGATGACCAGTTTTATTTTGTTTAGATCTCTCTCCTTCTGTACTTGCTCGTCGAGTTCTGCGTTCTCCCTCTAAGTTTCTTTGATTTTCTCCAACTATTTGTGGAGTAATATCTTCGTCACTTTCCTCTACTCAAGACGCATGAGCAATTTCGGATTGAAGACTACATCAATTGTTTGGGTGTAGCGGTGATGGAGTTTCCATGATATTGGAGATTTTTGAAGGAATTTTTGAGATGGTTTTCATAGTAGATCCGGGTTGAATTCAGAGTTTTGGGGGAATCGAGATCGGCAGAAGCGAAGAGGATGGTCATCGCTGTCGGATTGATGGCGATCAATCGGAGTTTGGCGGTGGTTCCGGCGGTGCTTAAGGATCGAGTTACGTCTTCGAGAATATCATATTTTCTTCGGGAAAATAGCATAAAATTTTTTAAGGTGACACCAAC